GCTTGAGCCACAGGCGCTGAGCCCAAAGAGATTTTTAATAAAGCTAATGAAGGTACAAGTTGAGATCTTGTCATTTCCCTAGGTTAGGCCAGGAGAGAAGAGCTCACAGTGGTTCGGCAGGGTCTCAGCTTAACTCTGTCTTCTCTCTCCCTTTGAAGTTAAATGAGCTTGTGGTAGGAGACACCAGCGGGAAGCTTTCTGTGTATAAGAATGATGACAGCCGGCCATGGCTTACCTGTTCCTGCCAGGGAATGGTCAGTATTCACCTCCCTGGGCCTTGAGGGAGGAAGTCCCTTTTGTCCAGGGACTGGCAAGGGTGGGCCCCACATGGGAGCTCAGTAGTATGTCCTGAGTCCTCAACTACTCAGCCCAGCTGCTGCTTCCTGGCTAATTTCATTCATAGAGGGAAGCCACAGGTAGTACTCCTGTCTGTCCCCCCACATACATGCACACAAGCCTGGGGTGTTTGTTGTGAATTACCCTTTACTACTTGATGGAAATTGCCTATACTTGTCTGATCTTATAAAGTTTATTCAAAAAATAGGGACAATAATTTGAATAAGTCTAGAAATATGATAGGTTACCTATGTTAGGCATTGGGTTTTTGTTTTGTTTAAAGCTCAGATTGTCTTAACTACCTTGGGGCATCATATTGCTGTTTGGGGGAATCGAACCTTTAGCACAATAACTGAATTAATAAAGACTGTCAATGTAGGTCATATGGCATAAGTTTTCATGAATGATGGTAATTAGAAAACCCACCCCTTCTCAAGTCACAGAGATCAGGGAGTCCCAGTCTCCCTCAATGTCTCCTGAGCCTTACTTTCTCTCTTGCAGCTGACTTGTGTTGGGGTTGGAGATGTATGTAATAAAGGAAAGGTAAGAACTCTAGGGGACCTTGGGACTTTAGTAGAACTCTGAGGCCTTACCTTGATTCCTACCTCAAAGTGGAAATCATTTGAGGTTTAAAGGCTTTAGCCCTGACCTCTATGATCTAATTATTAGGATTATACCCAACCTCCCTCTCAGTCCACCTCTGTCTCTCCCAGAATCTGCTGGTGGCAGTGAGTGCTGAAGGCTGGTTTCATTTGTTTGACCTGACACCTGCCAAGATCCTGGATGCTTCTGGGCACCATGATGCACTAATGGGGGAGGAGCAACGTCCAGTCTTCAAACAGCATATCCCTGCCAACACCAAGGTCATGCTGATCAGCGACATCGGTGGGCATGGCTACCTTTGCAGGCAACTGGAATTCTAGGAGTTAGTGGGTACCTAAGTAGATCCCAAGGGATTAACGTTAGAGGGCGAGTTCATATTCGTTTATGCATTTACCATGTATTTAATGTAGATTTTTTGAGCTCCCACTGTAAGCCAGGCATCATTCTATACATTGGGATTACAATAGTGAATAAAACAGACAAAAATCCCTGCCATCTTGGACCTTACCAGAAAGAGACAAAAAAAACCTCAATATTGATTTTGAGGAAAATTAAATAGTATGTCAGATTGAATAGTGCGT